GAGAGGCTGGAAGACTCAGTCTCTGAGAAGATGCTGGAAGTTGGGTTTCCTTATAAAGCTCATTGCTATTTAAGTTACTAGCAAATTCTCCTCTTGGGACCACATGCCCTGCCTGGATATAAGGACAGGACTCAGCACATAACACGAACTCAGAAAGTGGTGACCCTCTTCTCCCCTCCCAGCCTGGCCCAGAGTCCCTTTCCTCTGGAACCTCGCCTCTGGGAACATCACGTCAGAAGGACATCACATCAGTGGGATCAATCTTGTCCGTGTGGGCTGACCCTGCAGCAATGCTGGGGTTTTCTCTGCTGATTCTTTCCCTGACCTGTGGGAAGCATCACACTCACATGCACGGTCTTTTTTTTTTAATGGTATTACTGGGGATTGAACGCAGGACCTCATGCGTGCTAAGCATGCGCTCTACCACTGAGCTATGCTCTCCCCACCCCAGCATGCGGGGCTTTTAGGTGCCTCAGCCCACGAGCCTGACGTCCTGCCCCCTGAGGTTGCAGCGAGCACCGAGGGCCAGAATGTGGCTCACCTTGGGACTGGCGTTTGGGCCCCTCCTCCCCGTCCACTTCCCCTGTGCAAATCACATCCCCCCAAAGCCACTACATGTGCCATTGGAAACAGGACCCACTCTCACATTACACACATTAAACTGCTCAGAGTTAGGGTCTAGGACGGCACCCTGTGCAGAGGCTTCAACTGAATGCTCACTAAAAAGATGTTTGGGGTTATATCAGGAGAAAAAGTTCATGTAACAGAATAGAAAGTTCATGTAACAGAAAGTGTACATGAGAGACAGAGTGTGTGTACACACACCCTCAGCAAGTAATTACATGGTCCTCTCTAAGTGGTGGATGGAAGATGGGGTTTTTTTTCCCCTAAGTTGTTTTTTATTCTACATTGGCATTTACAAAAAGTTCCCACAGTGATGTATCACTTTTGTAATCAGGAAAAAAGCTTTCAAAAATAAAGTTTTTTAGTTATCATGACAATCAACTAACATCAAGCTTCCTTGGTCCCCTCAGCACCTTGAGTTGAGTCAGAATGGTGGGATTATGAAGGACCAGGAGCCTGTGTTCTAAGCATCTCCCTCCCTCCCCATCTCGCCCTGCTCTCTGACTGCAGGGAGCAAATCCAGCAGGTGTTAATGGCCACCACTGTGACCACGGCAGGGAGATTCCTTGTCGCCTGGGCTCTTTGGCTCTTTGTGAGCTGCTGAAGGACAGACAGTTTACACTGGCGGATGCTTCTGCCTTGTCTTCGTGAAGGATGTTGTCCACCACAACACTTGAAATCCCCTTCAAAAGCAGCTGCAGAAGAGAAGTTGCTCTCGGTCCATAGCCTCGAGCAAAGCTGAGCCTGCCCTGCACTTGCAAAAATGGGTGTCCTACGTAATGAGCAGTGCTCATCCACACTGAGACGGCTGGGAGGCATACAGCTTAGCACGTGCGCGTGGCTTTCTGCTGTGTGTCTTAGGATGTTAACCTGAGACCTGACTTCTTTGCTCTTTTCGACCCCTGCCCCTCTATTCCTTTGCTTTGACCTGTTCTTCCCTTTCTCACTGCCTATCTCTGCCTCTGTTTCTTCCTCTCGCCCCTGCTCCCCCTTCTCTGCCCCTCTTTTTTCATCTTTCTGTCTCTCCCTCTGTGTGTCTGTCTCTCCCTCCTTTCCTCTTTCCTTCCCTCTTTCCCTTCTTGTGTGTCTCCCCTCCCTCCTCCCCCCC